TCTGCTTACCATGCCTTCAAATCTAGACTGTTTTTCAAAATAGATTTAATCTTTTTTTTTTTTTTTTTTTTGGAGTTGGAGTTTTTGCTCTTGTTTCCCAGGCTGGAGTGCAATGTCGTGATCTTGGCTCACCGCAACCTCCACCTCCTGGGTTCAAGCAATTCTCCTGCCTCAGCCTCCTAGGTAGCTGGGATTACAGGCATGTGCCACCACACCCGGCTAATTTTTGTATTTTTAGTAAATATGAGGTTTTTCCATGATGGTCAGGTCTCGGACCCATGACCTCATCATCTGCCTGTCTTGGCCTCCCAAGGTACTGGGATTACAGCTATGAGCCACCTCGCCTGGCCTACATTTAATTTTTATAACAAATTTACAATTAAAATTCAAAGCAGGGGTAGTGACATTAATTAAGGTGGTGAAAGAGATGATTCTGTTCATCATACCCCTACAGAAACATCTATTTTGATAACCATCCATGAACATAAAAAAAGTTTCTTTGAGAAACTGGGAGTCCAGTGGAGAGACTCCAGCACCGCATTGGAAAAAAAAAAATACAATTTTAAGGACTATAAGAACAGTTTTAATATATTTTTACTACCTGACTTTTAAGGTGGTACAACTTAGAGCCAAGAGGGCCCCAAATGCCTGCAATTTCCCCTGAGAGGAAGGTAAGAGCCGAGTGAGCACACAGCTCAGGGGAACTTGCCCAAGAGGCCCCCTTCAGCCTTGCCCCACTTGGATCTCTGGAGGGACTGGCATGGCTGCATAGTTGGCAGGGGGAGCCAGGAGCAAGGAAAGATTAAAAAGCTCACAGCAGCCGGGCGCAGTGGCTCATGCCTGTAATCCCAACACTTTGGGAGGCTGAGACGGCCGGATCACAAAGTCAGGAGTTTAAGACCAGCCTGACCAATATGATGAAACCCCATCTCTACTAAAAATACAAAAATTAGCCAGGCGTCCTGGAGGGCACCTGTAATCCCAACTACTCAGGAGACTGAAGCAGGAGAATTGCTTGAACCCGAGAGATGGAGGTTGCAGTGAGCCAAGATTGCACCATTAAACTCCAGCCTGGGTGACAGCAGGAGATGATGTCTCAAAGAACAAAAAACCACATATAGCCAAAAAAAGCAGCTGCAGATCTGACTAATGATTTGTGGAGCCCACCAAGAGACCCACTCATAAACCTACTGGAATGCCTCATGTGCAGCCCCTACAACTGGCTGATGTGGTCCCCAGCAGCTTGATCCACCTGCAAGATCTCCCATATGAGCCTTCACAGACACAGAGCACATGCCTCCATAAAGAGCACTCACACATTTCCACAGACAGCACATGGAGATCAGCAGCCAGCTCGACTCTGCAGGATTGAGAGAGGGCACAGAACTTTTAGCAACTCAGGGCTGCTTGCTCAGGAAAAACAACCAGGAGACACGCACCTGCACTAACTTTGCAGATTGAGAGAAAACCCACGAATTGTAAGACGCCCCCAACAAAAAGAAACAGGAGCGAGGCAGAGTATCCATAAAAAGGGGGTTACACCTTTTTATAGGCGTGGTGGCTCACGCCTATAATCCCAGCACTTTGGGAGGCTGAGGTGAGTGGATCACCTGAGGTCGGGCATTCAAGACCAACCTGACCAACATGGAGAAACCCCTTCTCTACTAAAAATACAAAATTAGCTGGGCATGGTGGTGCATACCTATAATCCCAGCTACTCAAGATTCTGAGGCCGGAGAATCGCTTGAACCCAGGAGATGGAGGTTGCAGTGAGCCAAGATTGTGCCATTGCACTCCGGCCTGGGCAACAAGAGTGAAACTTCATCTCAAAAAAAAAAAAAAAAAAAAGGGAGGGGGGTTAAGTTACCAGCCACCAAATAAATTTCTAACTGGGCTGTCTGGTACAGGTGTTTCTCTTTTGAAGCCAGTCAATAAAGACTGAAAGAGGGGACTGCTTTCTCAAATGCAAAGATAGTAACACAGAAGCTTAAGGAACATGGGGGAAAGAAAGCAAAACTAACATCGCCATAGAAAAAAACAAAGGTCCGATGACCAACCTCAAAGAAACGGGGATCTATAAACTGAATGATGAAGATTTCAGAGTAATCATTGTTAAGGAGCTCAGTGAGCTTAAGAGAAAATAGGTGGACAACTCATGAAATAAGGCTGACATTTTATGCATAGAATGAAAAATTAGATAAAAAGGTACATCTATGTAACAAAAAATACTCGTACCCCAAAAGTTATTAAAATTAATTTTTTTTGAGATGCGGTCTCACTCCGTCACCCAGGCTGAAGTGCAGAGGCACAATCTTGGCTCAATGCAGCCTCCACCTCCCAGACGTGGGCCACCACACCTAATTTTTTTTTCCTGTAGTTTTGGTAGAGATGAGGTTTCTCCATGTTGCCAGGCTAGTCTGTAACTCCTGAGCTCAAGTGATCTTTCTGCCTTAGACTCCCAAAATGATGGTATTACAGGCACAAGCCACCATACCCAGCTGAAATTTTAAAATGTTTTCAAAAAGAGAAACAGAACCAAATAGAAATTCTAGAACTGAAGAATACAGTGACTGAAATAAAATATTCTACGGAGAGCTTCAACTGCAGACTTGATTAAGCAGAAGAAAGAATCAGCAAACTTGAAAAATATTTAAAATTACCCAATCAGAAAAGGAAAAAACAAAATGAAACTGAATAAATGAAGCCTGTGAGTAAAAAACGCACAATGAAAGAGTCTCTTCAATAAATTATATTGCACACATTGGGTATCTTCATCAAAAGAATGAAGTTGGGGCTGGGCGTGGTGGCTCACACCTGTAATCCCAGCACTTTGGGAGGCCGAGGCAGGCAGATCAGCTGAGGTCAGGAGTTTGAAATCAGCCTGACCAACATGGTGAAACCCCATCTCTACTAAAAATACAAAAAAATAGCCAGGTGTGGTGGCAAGCGCCTGTAATCCCAGCTACTCAGCAGGCTGAGGCAGGAGAATCACTTGAACCCAGTAGGCGGAGGCTGCAGTAATTGTGCCACTTCACTCCAGCCTGGGTGGCAGAGCAGGACTCTGTCTAAAAAAAAAAAAAGGAGAGAGAGAGAGAGAGAGAGAGAGAGGAAGGAAAGAAAAGAAAAGAGAAAAGGAAAGGAAAGAAAGAGAAAGAAAGAGTCCCTGCATCTGATGTTCTGTCTTCTCTCTTGGCTCTTCCTCTTTCCACTAATAACAGTTCAGTGTTTTTGCTTCATTTCCCCTAAACTGTGTCTGTCCTGCTTTCCACTGTGACCTCACTGCCCGAACTTCCTGGATTTCCTTACACTGGAGCAGACACTGGGACCTGCTCAGTCCTCCTGTGCTCTGCAAGGGGTAAAAAAATTCACAAATCCTCTGCTATGTCCGGACTGTTCACCTTTTGCTAAAGACTTCATTTACCCACCTGTCACCCTCTGCGTCAGAGTCAAACAAGATGTTATGAGAGAAAACACTCTGGTGATGGTTGAAAAACAACCAGAGAAAAAAGACAGAGACGCCTAAAAAGAGACGAGACACCCAGAAAGAGAAAGACAGAGAGAGAGAGAGACAGGGACAGAGATAGAGCAGGGAGAATGTGTCCCATGTGAATAAGAGGAAAAAGCAGTCAGGATGTTCACACAAGAAAGCAAAGATACAGAGTACAGCGTTGGGAAGTAGATCCCAGGAGGAAATCAAACATGGGCGCAAAAAGAAAAGTAAATCTCTGTGCCAATTAAAATTGGGGAGGCCAGCCAGGCACCCACCTTCTTTGAACCAGCACGGTGAGCTGCAGCCTGTCCAGGGGTTCCTAACGTGGAGTCGGGAGCCTCATGAGGGTTTGAAGCCCCCGCCTCTGAGACATGGCTGACCTTGGACAAGTTACTTCATGTCTTGGTCCATAGTTTCTTTTTTTTGTTTTTTTTTTTTTTAATGAGGAAAATAATATAGGGCACGCTGTGGAGTGTTTGTAGAATTTAACATGTCGATGTTTGCCTAGAACTAAAATAGCAACTGCCCCATAGAAAGAGCTGGCTGAGTTTTTGCTGAATTAAAACTCTTTCCATAAAAAATATTTGTATGTACTCTCTTTGTAATGGGCACGCAGGCTTCTTTTCTGGCTCCCTTCATTTGCTTGTTTGGTTTGGTTTTCTGGGATCGTTTTAGTATTCTTTTTTCATTGACAGATAATAATGGTGAATATTTATGGAGCACAATGTTGTACTACTCTGTTTTCACACTGCTACAAAGAACTACCCAAGACTGGGTAATTTATATGGGAAAGAGGTTTAATTGCCTTACAGTTCAGCATGGCTGGGGAGGCCTCAGGAAACTTAGAACCATGCCAGAAGGCAAAGGGGAAGCAGACTTCTTCTTCTTAAGCAAGCAGGAAGGATAATGAACACAGGAGGAATTACCAAACACTTATAAAACCATCAGATCGGCCGGGCGTGGTGGCTCAAGCCTGTAATCCCAGCACTTTTAAGAGGCCTAGGCGGGTGGATCATGAGGTCAAGAGATCGAGACCATCCTGGTCAACATGGTGAAACCCCGTCTCTACTAAAAATACAAAAAATTAGCTGGGCATGGTGGTACATGCCTGCAATCCCAGCTACTCGGGAGGCTGAGGCAGGAGAATTGCCTGAACCCAGTAGACTGAGGTCGCGGTGAGCTGAGATTGCGCCATTGCGCTCCAGCCTGGGTAATGAGAGCGAAACTCCGTCTCAAAAAAAAAAAAAAAAAAAAAAAAAAAAAAAAAAAAATCGCCAGGCATGGTGGTGCATGCCTGTAATCCCAGCTACTTGGAAGGCTGAGGCAGGAGAATCGCTTGAACCTGGGAGGCGAAGGTTGCAGTGAGCCAAGATCATGTCACTGCACTCCAGCCTGGGCAACAAGAGTGAAACTCCATTTCAAAAAAAAAAGAAAAAAGAAAAGAGACTGTGGTTATCATTGCACAATGTATGGCTATAACAAATTATCACATTTTACGCCTTGAATATGCACATTCTTGATCAATTAAATTTAGAAAAGAAAATGCTTTTTTCCTGACACCTCCTTTGTAGGTTCTGTCTCCTTGACTCAGCTTTGAACAACTGTGAAGGCAGAGGCTGGTCCAAGTGACCTGTGCACCCAGGACCAGGAACGGGGCTGCCAGATGTGAGGCCTTCAAAATAATTTATTGATGCACAGAGGAAAGTGTGATGCAGAGAACTGGGCTTAGCTGTCAGCTGGATGTGTATAGCGTCGTCTCAAGGTTAGCACTTGACTTCTAAGGAAGGTCTTTGGGGTCAGCAGGGAAGATAATTACAGCAAAGTCTCTGGGGTCACTGGAGGTTCACGGGAGACACCTGGGACCAGTTTGGGGGCTGCATCACTACTCAGGAAATCAGGTGACTGGCTGTAGCAGGGCCTCTAGAAAAGGCAAGTGACTTTAGCTGGGTCTCTGGAAACAGTCAGGTGAGTAAAGCTGGGTTTCTAGAAACAGCCAGGTAACTGAAGCTGGGTCTCTAGAATCAACTGAGAAACAGTCTGTCCAAGGAGCTGCTCGATTGTAGAAGGGACCAGCTGGCTAACGAGCCTTCCGCATGCTGGTTAGAAACCTCCAGGCTCCAGCTCTTGTCTCCAGGAGATCTGCCTGGGGGCCTTTCCAGATGAGGATGAGTCCAGGCGGAAGCCTTGCAAAGGGCTGCTTCAGGCTTTTCCTAGAGTCTTCGGGTGCAGAGGCCAGGCGGGCCTGGGGTCAGCGTTTGACAATGGCTGCATAGGTGCCGGCCTCGGCCAGGGGCTCTGTGGACTGTGGAGACACAGCCTGGGCTGTCCTGCATGTGAGGGCCCTGTGGTCCAGCTGAGCGTATGTCACCTCCTGGGGGCCCTCTGCAGTCGGGGCCTGGGAGAGAGCGAGCCAGGGTGAGGGAGGGGCTGGGGGAGGGGGAGGATGCGTGGCTGTGGGGCTGGAGGGCTGTGGTTGCCGTCTCCGTGGGCCCTGCGGACCCGCTCCTGAAATTGCATCCATGTGAAGAGCACACCCACAGGGTCTGAGGGTTGGTCTATGTGACAGGGAACAAGGCAGAAGGGAAGACTCCGGACTTCCAAGCTGAGGCAAAAGACATTGTGTTTCTGCCCTCCCCACACCCTCGGGTCCCTCCTCTGGGGGAAGCTGGCAGGGTGGGAAGGTCTCTGTGAGAGGAACAGAGGCCTCCTGCCATGGCTGTGGGGGTGAGCGTCTCAGACGTGGCGCCTCCAGCCCGCAGGACCCTTCCGATGCCCACAGCCCTGGGCGACCTCTCGACAGCAACCTCAGCCCAGACTGTGAGCCGGAACTGCGCAGCTGAGCAACTCCTGAATTCCGGACCCAAGGAACTGAGATTTTTTTTAAGCTGCTAAATTTGGGGTACTTTGATAATTAGCAGGAAGGCTCACCGAGGTGTCGGTGTCTCTGTCCTTCTCAGGAAGTGCATCAGCTGTGGCCATGTCTGGGGGACAAGACACATGGTCAGTTTCCTGGGGAGGATGTCACAGGGCAAATCTGCCTGAGACCCCCAGCTTCAGATGTCATCTTGCATCGATCTATAATATGACCTTCTAGAATGTTCCTGAAGATTCTTCCCCTCTCCCCCCCAACATTGCATCTGGATTGGCACCAAGTTCCCACTTCTCCATCCCAGGCCTGTCCCTCCTTCTCCCCCTTTACCTGCTTTTCTCTCTAGAACATCAACAGCCAGGCTGGGCCTGAGAGGAAAAATAAAAATGAACATTAGGGGCAGCCTGGCGGCAGAGGACGGGATGGACGTCCAGGACTCATTCCCGGGGGCCTCACCTCTGCTGTGGCTTCTGCTCCTCATCCTTGCTTCTTGGGGGCCCTGAGGACAGTCGGGGTCTGAATTAAGGAGACCTTCTTCCTTGCGTCTCCTGACAGCTTCCCCAAGTCACTCCACCCTGCCCCTGACACCTACCCTGCTTTATCTGATTCTGGCGATGGAGGAAGAAGAGGACCAGGAGGAAGAAACAGCAGAGGAAGACCACTAAGACCGCAATGAGAATATATAGATGCTCAGCTTTCAGGCCTCGGGGAGCAGGGGCATCTAAGAAAGACAGAAACAAGTTTTCAGCAGTGTGTACTTATTGAGCACCTACTGTATACCACACACATGTTGTGTGTGTGTCACAGACTTACTAATGTATCACATCTCTCAGATAAATAATTGTCCCACAGCACAAGGATTAAATCTCTCAGGGGAATAACAGTCCTGCAGCACAGGGATCATTATCCCCTTCTTCCACCACTGGGGTCCTGAGTGCTGGGGTCCTCTGCACAGGGACACAGCCAGCCATTGGCAGAGCGGGAATCTGACAAACCCCAAAGCCTGACCTCTTTCTCCATCTCCAAGAGGGACACACCAGGCTCATGCTCCACAGTCCCCATCACTCACGCTCATCGTTACTGTTGTCTGAAGGCCTTGGCGTGGGTCCTGGGAGGGAGGAATCAGAAGGAGGCGGAGGCAGAGCCCTGAGCTGGACAGAAAAGGTTCTGAGTCCTCCCATGCCCACTGCAGGAATCTCCCTTCATTCCCCAGGACCCCGACCGCTCCTTCTAGACCAGCACCCCGCCCAGCAGAGTCTTCTGTGATGATGGAAACTTTCTACATCTACTGTCCAGAATGAAAGCCACACGTTGCTATTGATATTTAAATGCCGTGAGAAGCTAGCTGCACTGTCTGCGTCTCGAGGGCTCAGTGACCACGCGTGCCTAATGCCATCCCTACTGGACGGTGCAGATGCAGCACGTTTCCTTGGTGTGAAGCTGTGTTAGACATCGCTGCTCTCTGCCCTCTGCGGATCTAGGCAGAGACCAGGCACCCATAAGAAGAGGAAAAGAGCCCTTCCCTCCCCGACCTCCTTCTGGGTTCCCAACAGAATGCAAGAATCCCCATGTCTGATTTTATCTGCCCTAGCGGCAGACCCCTGATGGGGATGTAACCCGCCTTCCTGTGGGAAGAATCCAAGGCCCGCTGTGCTCCTGTTTCCTGAAGGCCTGCAGCTAGCGGGCGAGTGTGTGCGGCCCCGGCCAGGCTCCCTGCTCAGGCCTTGTCTGTCATCTCCATCATCCATGCTCCTCTGCACAGTACACACCACTACCCACTTCACGGTGACCAAATGGGGTCCTGCAGGGCTCTCCCAAACCCAGGGTCCCTCTTCCAGGAACAGCAGCCCCTCCCCTCCCCTGTGCTAGGCAGGGTCTTTAATATCTTTCAAGAAAAGCAAGCATTCTGTCTTGGAGTGTCCTTCCCTCATGCCTCCTCCAGGGTCCAAGACCCAGCACACTATGCTTTATTCTACGCCGTGACTGCCTGGGCTTGGTCTTTATAACATTTGCCACCATTTTAAAAAATTACATATGTACTATGTATGTGCAAGATTACACTTTTTATAATATTTACGGTTATATGTATCATGTATTATGCAAATGTATAATATATAACAAATATATATTTTTAATTATGTAATTGACATGTACATGCTATTTAATGAATATAGTGTTAAATGTATGTGATTTATAATTACTTATATGTCACATATATTCAATATAATATATAATGCGTAATTTATATTGCTGATAAACCTATAATTAAATATAAAATGTTTTTCTATTATAATTATACATAATATATACATAATTTATATTTACATGAATACCTATATTTATTAATTATAACACTTGAAATTTATTACACTATATATTGTAAATATAAATTTCATATAACACATAATATACAGTATAGTCATATGTAGTGATACACTAACATATTTTTATTATATAATTATTTTTCTTCTACATGTAATATATGATGTAAACATGTTTAATATAATTTAAATTATAGATCTGAAATTATACATTGCAAATCATATATTTTTATTTGTGTATGCATGTAAAGGCATATGTGCATTTCTATTACTCATTCTAACTATTTCTCCCCATTGAGGTTCACAAGGCAGGATGCCATTTCTTCTCATTCATGGTGCATCAAACCCGGAGGCTTCCATGCCTGGCACAGTCCCTGTGAGTACAAAATACTTCATCCTCCTTGGGAGTTTTCTAATCAGCACTGATGGAAGCACTGTGCGTACCTGAACTCAAGCGTCCCCTAAACAATTCTTTTTTTCTTGTGTTTTGAGATGTTCTGTCACCCAAGCTGGAGTGCAGTGGCATGATTTTGGCCTCCTGGGTTCAAGCAATTCTCTGCCTCAGGCTCCCCAGTAGCTGGGATTACAGGTGCCCACCACCATGCCTGGCTAATTTTTTTAAAATAATATTTTTGGTAGAGATGGGGTTTCACCATATTGGCCAGGCTGGTCTTGAACTCCTGACCTAATGATCCACCTGCCTCAGCCTCCCAGAGTGCTGGGATTACAGGTGTGAGCCACCGCGCCTGGCCTCCCCTAAATGATTCTGCAAGGACAGCTTTTTCATTGCCTATTTTTCACACAAGGAATTTGGGACACAGGAGGTTCGTGTGAGTCACCGTCAGGCATAGAGCTAGTGGGGTGGCAGAACCACTGGGACTTGAACCATGAACCCAGCAATCTGGCTGCAAGGAGGGTCTGTCCTCGTAACCTTTATATGTCACTGCATGAAAGATGACAGAGGAGAGAGGGAAGGAGAGAGAGACAGACATTCCTGCAGACAGAAGGCTAATTAAAACCAGACACTGGACTTGAACCAGGTGTGCTGGACTCAGGAGCATGTCCCACTGCACCCTGGCAGTCCAGGAGCCTCTGAGGGGGTCTGGATGGAGCACAGCATCACTCCTCCCACCTCCCATGTGGCTTTAGCCCCTGGTCCCACCTGCCTGAGCTCAGAGCCCGAGTCTCACAGACTGTCACTGGTCTAGCTCAAGGACTCTAGCAATGGGAACACAGGTAGCGAAGTGTCTGTGGATGGCTTCTGACCCCGTGTCCTCGCCTGGGAGGTTCTGGTCACAGACCACAGCAGGAGATGGATAACTTGATACCCAGGGATCTGGGGCAGCTTTACTCCCATCACAGAGTCCAGGGGCAGAGCCAGACGGAAGGGAAGCCTCATGGCTTCATCCTGGTCACCGTGCCAGGCTATGTCCCCTCCCTCTGACACCGTCCTCTTCTTAAGGGACCTTACTCCACTGTTCAGGCCTCCCCTGGAAATCACATAGCCAACAGGAGCCTCCTGGTCCCTCTCCCGGTGTCCCAGGTTGGAAGGTGAGTTCTCAGTCGCTCGCAGGTGCAGAGCGGGGTGAATGGTGAGGACACGCCCACAAGGGGGCAGCGTGGAGCTCGGGCAAGCCCGGGAGTCTGGGGTGTGGCTGCCCGGGTGGGCGGCCCCTGCCCCTGCCCCTGCCCCTTCATACCTCCTGCCTTTGAGCAAGAAACTTGAATTTCTGCGTTGCATATTAGAGAGGAGGAGGAGTTAGAGAATCAGCCTAGTACCTCCCCCGCAGAGTGGGGTTTGCATTCAGCGCGTTCCACGGTGCCTGGCGTGGAGTGAGGTTGCAGTCGAGGTACTACTGCTGCTGTGGTCTCCCTGAGCATCAGCGACCTGCCAGAGCTGGGCAGCGTCAGTCCCTTCCCATGCCCTCCCTGGTCCTCGATTCCAAGTCCGGGGCCCAGGGCTGGAGCCAGAGCTGCATCCCCAGCACAGATCCCGCTGGAATCCCCTCCTGATGAGGAACGTACTACTGACCTGCTGAGGAGCTGAGCTCGGTGCACGGGGAAGTGGGATGGGGGGAGGGGGAGTCGCTGTAAGGGGAGGGGGATGGGTATAGGGGGAAGTTGGCACCCCCAGGGGTTCCTGTAAACAAGGGCAGGAGAAATTTTAGAACCGTCCCATCCAACCTGCCCTCCTCCCCTCTGAGCCCCGTCCAAAAGCGCCATGTTCATCACACAATCCCAATGTCCCAAGACTCCAGAGAAAATGGGGCAGGGGACAGGAGGTTGGGAGAGCCCCGCTGCTTGGCCCATTCTGCCAGGCGCTGGTCACTCCCTCTGCTCCCCGCCACCACCAGCTCTGCTTGACCTCAGGGGACTCCTATGAGGCCCTGGGGGGACGTAAAAGTGGATTGGACTTTGACTTCAGGACAACCCTGCGGCTGAGCACACACAGGGGTCCGTGTGGTCACATACCAGAGGATTTCCCACAGCACTGTCCAGCCCCGGTCAGGAGCCACCCCTGGACCCTGTGTTCTGCCCAATGGGAGATGAGCCACAGCAGGAGGAGCACGTTCCCTGGGGCAGGTTCTGGCTCAGGGGAGAGGAATAACAAGAGGACCACCCATCCTGGGTGAAAAGACACTCAGCCCCTGAGTGGGGTAGGGGGGTTGCCCCCTAATCTCTGGGAACCCACTCCCCACCCAGCCAAGTAGAGGCAGCTCTGAGCCCATCCGATGCTGGGCTGAGTGTCCAGGCCATCTGTGGCGTCCAGAGGGGACCAGGGTGCCAGGACCTAAGTGGGTGTGAGGGCAGAGGGGAGGTGTGGGCAGAGGGAGAGGGGGAGGGGAGGGCTGGGCGGTCAGGAGGAGGGTAAGAGTGGCCACAGAGAGAGGACAGCAGCTGGGACAGGGTCCAGGGACCTGGGGACAAGCTCGAGGGCAGAGCTGAGACTAGGGCAGGGCCCAAGTGGCATCCTCACCTTTCACCACCAGCTCCAGCGGCTCACTCTGCTGAGACCATCCGGAGGCCGTATGATAGATGCAGTGATAACCCCCAGCGCTGTCTTCACTCACTGAGTCAATGCGGAATGTGGCCTGTGACTCAGATGAACTAAGTTGAGACACATTATTTGTATCATTGAACTTGGATCTATTCTCCGTCTCCAGGCGGAATGTGAGAACTCCAGCCGGGCCCCGGCACACGAAAGTCACAGGGCTCCCCGGGGGGATCACGGTGCCTGGCTCAGCCGAGATGGAGGGTCTCGGCAGGGCCCCTAGGAGGGAAGCAGAGAAGGACTCAGTGTCCACTGTAGGAGGTCACCATGTCACACATGTCATTCGCATCACAATTCAGGGTTTTTAGCGAATTTATGCAATTGTGCAGCTGCAACCACAGCCCGACTTTAGAACATTTCCCACCTCCTGCGCCTTCCACTTGCGTGTGAATTCTCATTGCTGCGGAGTTATTTTCCCGGTGGACACTAAGGACCCTGAGACTTGCTCACAGCTTGAGCCCTGCTCAGGGTCACGTAGGAAGAGTCAGAGCAGCCTGGGGCCCTTCGTGTCTGCTGCAGAGCCCAGGGCCACTTTCCAGAGGGACAGAGGGTGGGAGGGAGGCACAGCATGGGGGTGACACGGTCACTCGTGAAGGACAGGGGACAGGGAATTGAGGGTTCTGGAGACGATGGGTGCTGGGGCCTGAGCGCACTGGCCAGTCCCGGGGTTGGGACTGAGTGTGGGACGGGGGTTGCCAGGCTCCTGTGAGGGTCTGGTGTCGGGGAGGAGGAACCCCTCAGCCCTGATCTGCTTGAGGCAGCCCAGCCGGTGGCAGGTCCCCGCTGCTAATGCAAGTCTCTGCGGAGCCACCACCTCTGCGTTTTTCTCTGAAGTTTCTGCTTTCTTCTCAGCCTAATTTGCATTTCCTTGTTATTAAGGCTCTTGGAAAACCACATTTGTCTCTGGGCTTGGGGTAGAGGAGGGAAGGGTGGGTGTGAAACCCTGAAACAGGAAAAGTTGTGTCAAAATCAGCAAAATCCCTGACCAGAGCAGGGAGCTGGCAAGGCTTCAGTTCGCTCATCCATACTTTATCATTCTTTACGATTGACAAATCAAAACTGCATCTATTTAAGGTTTGCAACATGTTTTGATACAGGTATACATTGCGGAGTGGCTGAATCAGGCTAATTAGTATAACCTTAGTTTGCATGGTTTTTTTGTGGTGAGAACATTTAAAATGTGCCCTCTTAGCGGTTTTCAAGCATGCAGTGCATTGTGATTAATCCAGTCACCCCGTTGCACCATCCTCACCTTACTCCTCCTGTGTAGCTGAAATTTTGTATCCTTCTGCCATCTCCCCAAACCTACCCATTTGTCCATTTCTCGTTCTTTTAACCATATCTCAGTTGCTTGTCAATCTGTTTAAAGACGCTTTTCATGGGCTGCTGTTTCCACAAATGTGAGAGACACACACAGGATGCCTGCCCTTGGGAGGTGGACGTCTAGAAGGGAGGACAGATACTGACGGAAGAATTGTCCAAATCTGCCGCTGTGAACTGCAATCAGCTTCCTGTGGTTAAGTGCGGGCATCTAGGGGCTGGTGGGCGGTGGAGTTGACCTCCTTGGCAAAGTCGGGGGAAGCGCTATTGAGCTGAGAGCTGAGGGAGGAGTAGAAACTACCTGAGCCCAGGACACCTGGGCATCCAAGTGGGAACATCAGCCAGGATACAAAGTTTCAGTTAGAGAGGAGAAATCAGCTCAAGAGAGGTAACGTGCAACATAGTGACTGTAGTTAACAACAATGTATTGCATGATTGGACATTGCTAATAGAGGTGGTTCTAAGCGTTCTCACCACAAGAAAACGATTAGCAGGGGGAGGAATGCCTGCGATGCGGCCGTTCTACACTGTGCATAGCCCACAGCGTCATACTGGACATGATAAATGCATGCAGTTTTCTTTGTTTTGTTTGTTTTTTGCTTCGCTTCTGGTTTTTCTTTTATTTTCTTTTTTTCTTTTTTGTTTTTTGAAACAGAGTCTTGCTCTGTTGTCCAGGCTGGAGTGCAGTGGCACAATCTCAGCTCACTGCAACCTCCACCTCTGAGGTTCAAGCAATTCTCTTGCCTCAGCCTCCCGAGTAGCTGGATTACAGGCACCCGTCACCACATGCAGCTAATTTCTGTATTTTTAATATAGACAAGATTTCCCCATGTTGGCCAGGCTGGTGTCAAACTCCTGACCTCAGGTGATCCACCCGCCTCAGCCTCCCAAAGTGCTGGAATTACAGTCATGACCCACTGCACCCAGCCTCATCCATCATTTTTAATATGATTTATTATTATTTTTTTAATCAGCATGTGAGACAGCCCGATGTTGCAAAGGATATAGAGTGTTTGAGAAAGTGAAAGAGGCTGCAGGAATGCAGAGATGAGTGAGCCTGAAGTCACAGGGACAGGGTGTGGCTGGGAAAATCAGCATGTCCAGACCAAAGAGAGGGGCGTGGGTCTGATTCTACCTGAAGATAAATGGGAAGGGCTCTGAGGAGAAAAGGATATTTCACCTTACAATGAGATATTAAAAGAAAAATTTTGAACACAATTTAAAAATTGTGGACGGTACAATGGTCATGTTTGTGCTTTCGAAAATCACGAGTCCCTGGCGTCAGGAAGGGAGCGGGCAGCCGGGGCATGGACAGGCTGAGGCCAGCCTCGGGGAGCCGTGGAGGGGAGAGGTGCGGTCACCTGGGGGAGACGCAGGACAAGTAAAGTAAGAGAAGGAAAGATGAGAGAAATTTAGAGTGAAATCACCAGGACTGGCTGACAGGATGCATCTAGGAGGATGGAGAAGAGGATGAATCTTCAGAGTCTGCCCTTGGTGACTGTCATATTCCCCACCAAGGAGCTGCCGAGGGAAGCGTGCGCTCATCTGGGGAAAGCTCCCAGGCTCAGCCTTGGTCATGTTGGATTTGAACGGTCACTGTGGAAATCGGTGTGTGGAAGTGACGCCTGCACTCCTGTGATGTCTGCAGCAGGACCCACAGCAGCCAAGACATGGAAATAAGCTGAGCGTCCACCCACAAATGAACGGATAAGGAAAATGTGGTGGGCATGTGCAGTGGAATATTATTCAGCCCAGAAAAAGAAGGGCGTTCTGTCACTCACAACAAGACGGATGAACTGGAGGACATTCGGCTAAGTGAAATAAGCCGGGCACAGAAAGATAACGCCGCATGTGGAATCTAAAATAAAGTTCATCTCGGCCGGGCATGGTGGCTCACAACTGTACTCCCAGCACTTTGGGAGGCCGAGGCAGGTAGATCACCTGAGGTCAGGAGTTTGAGACCAGCCTGGCCAACATGATGAAATCCCATCTCTACCAAAAATAGAAGAATTAGCCAGGTGTGGTGGCGCATGCCTGTAATCCCAGCTACTTGTGAGGCTGAGGTAGGAGAATCGCTTGAATCCAGGCGACAGAGGTTACAGTGAGCCAAGATCGCGCCACTGCACTCCAGCCTGGGTGATGAGAGTGAAACTCGGCCTCAAAAAAAAAAAAATAAAAATAAAAATAAAAAATAAAAAAAGTCATCTCACAGAGGTAGAAAGTAGAATAATGGTATTAGAGGCTGGAGGTGGAGGGCTTGAGAGAGACGCTGATCAAATGATACAAAGTTTCAATGAGATAGGCGGAGTAAGTTTTGCTATCTATTGCACAGTAGGCTAACTATAGTTAAGAATCACTTATTATGTATTTCAAAATTGCTAAAAGTAGATTTTAAATGTTCTCATCACAGTAAGTATGTGATGTGATTGATGTTACTTAGCCTTATTTAATCTGTCCACAATGTTCACATACATTGTAACATCACATTGTATCCCACAAACATATATAATTCTTTGTCAATAAAAAAAGATTTTTAAAAATAAGAAAAGCAAAACGCAGCAGGTGGAGAATGAAGGAGAGAAAGGGGTGAGGGCTGTGCATTTCACATTTGGAATCCTTTGCAATCTAGGATACATTTCAAGGGATCCCTCCAGGCCCTCTGAGAATCAACATCCCTCCCACCCAGAACTGCCCTTGGGGTACACAGGGGACTGGGGAGACGGGTTGAAGACGGGACTCACCCTCCTGCGTGTGGATCGTCTGGGCCAGGCAGAGCACTGGAAGGGAAGCCGCAGTGAGAGAAATGCCCACCACCCAGTCCTCATACGGCGCTGCTATCAAAAGGGGGCTCCATGCAGCTGGGGGCATTCAGCATTTCGTAACGACCAAACCACCCCTCCTCCACATCACTGTCTGAGTAGAATCCTTCTTGCTGCAAAATGGTTTCAAGATAAATCCCAAAGTCTCCTCTTCCAAAAAGGCTCCTGCTCCTCAGCGCTGGCACAATCTCGGCTCACTGTAACCTCTGCCTCCCGGGTACAAGAGATTCTCCTGCCTCAGCCTCCCAACTAAGTGGGATGACAGGCGTGAGCCACCACGCCCGGCTATTTTTGTATTTGTAGAGACGGGGTTTCACCACGTTGGCCAGGCTGGTCTCAAACTCCTGACCTCAGGTGATCCACCCTCCTCAGCTCCCAAAGTGCTGGGATTACAGGCATGAGCACCGCGCCCGGCACCCCAGCCCCTCTTAAAGCTGACGTCATCCCCACACCCAGGCCCCTGCTTTTAGGACAAGGTCTCCTCTGGTCAGACTTAGGCCCCGGGGAGAGCAGCAGGGCGGTCTTGGGGGAGGAGGAGACTTTTCCCCCCCAGAATCCTCAGGACTGGAGTCAGGCTGGAGCAGGGAACTTTCCAGTCCTCCCTGTTGCCTCCAGGACTCACCTAGGCCCAGGATGGTGGCAGTGGGGTGGGGAGACATGACCCCGGTCCCAGACACTGCAGCAGACACAAGCGGGCGGGATGTGGCGCCTCCTGCTTATGGGGTTCCCACAGCAGCTGCCTCACACGAGAGGAGGAGCTTTTTATCCTGCTCTTTTCACACTTCTGACTAGTGAGACGAGAGGGAGGGCCTTGGTTTCTGAAAAACGTCACTTACCCACATGATCAGATGACGCTAAACTAGTTACCCCATGTGTCGCCTCTTTCTAAATCTATGGGAGCAGGGAACTTTCCAGACCTCCCGACCCCGCTCCCTCCAGGACTCACCTAGGCCCAGGAGGGCAGTGGGGTGGGGGTACATGGCAGAATAAAGGTCCTTGTCCTGTGGTGGCGGGCAACAAACTGACTTGGACGCCATCCCAACTCCACAAGGCAACGGCCGCAGCTCTTGGGCAAGACGTTACAAACCCAGAAGCTGACATTTCCTCGTATTTGAAATGGGAGCCACAGAAACCCTTCTCCAAGTTTTTAATATTGTGATCTTTGCTAAAATCGCAACAAGGTATTTAACATGTTAAAAGCATCCTGCAGTGGATATTATTTGTTTAAGGAGACAGTGTTGCAGAGGATGTGGAGACGCTGGATCCCTTGCCTACTTCGGTGGGAATGGAAAATCGTGCAATCACTGTAGAGAATGGTGGGGAGGTTCCTTAAAAAATTAGAAATAGAACTACCAGCCGGGCGTGGTGGCTCATACTTGTAATCCCTGAACCTTAGGAGGCCGAGGCGGGTGGATCATGAGGTCAAGAGATTGAGATCATCCTGGCCAGCATGGTGAAACCGTCTCTATTAAAAATACAAAAATTAGCTGGGCATAGTAGCACGCACCTGTAGTCCCAGCTGCTGAGGAAGGCAGAGAACCACAACTGAGCAGTATGGAGGGGAAATGTGCGGTTGTAGCCCCCACACAGAGTTCCCACCTGGGCACTGTGTGCAAACGGAGGCACCACCCCCAGACCCAGAATGGTAGAGCCACCAGCAGCTTGCAACCTCTGTGTGGAAAAGCCATGGGGGCGGAGCTGCCTGCAGCATTGTGAACCAACCAAACCTCAGACCAGTGCACCCCGGATGTGGGACACGGAGTCCAGAATTATTTTAGAGCTTTAAGAGTTCCTGACTGCCCTGCTAGATTTCAGACTCGTGTGGGGCTGTTAGCCCCTTTCTTTCGGTTGATTTCTCCCTTTGGGAATAGGAGTGCTCCCAGTGCCTATGACCCCATTGTATCTTGGGGATAAATGGCTTGTTTTGATTTTACAGGATCATAGGTGGAAGGAACTCCTTTCCAGATGAGACTCTGGACTTGGATTAGGGACTTTGGACTTTTTGTTGTTGATATTGTTGAGACGGAGTCTTACTCTGTCACCCGGCTGGAGTGCAGTGGTGCAATCTCAGCTCACTGCAACCTCCACCTCCCGGGTTCAAGCGATTCTCCTGCCTCAGCCTCCTGAGTAGCTGGGACTACAGGTGCATGCCACCGTGCCCAGCTAAGTTTTGTATTTTTAGTAGAGATGGGGTTTCACCATGTTACCCAGAATGGTATCAATCTTCTGACCTTGTGGTCCGAAGAAAGAGGAGAAACAGAAAATATTTGTGCACTTGCAAAATGTACTTACACATGTCATTTCTGTCCAGATCTTTGGCTAAAAATAGTCATTACAGCCAGCCACACATGGATGCACAGGAGACTAGAAAAAATGTCCCTTGGTGTGGGGTAGCCACCTCCCAGAGATTTGAGTGCAGTGTAAGGGGAAATACAGAATGCTTTTTTCTGGTAAGCAGCTACACATCTCTGCCTTGTGTGAAAAATAATCTCAAGAAGAAATGTACCTGAAAATGTCTAGCCAAAGAGCACGATGTTGTAACACCCTGATTGATGGACCATCTGGTATGATTGACAGACCATCTGGGGTGATTGATGGACCATCTGGAGTGATTGACGGACCATCTGGAGTGATTGACGGACTATCTGGGGTGATTGACAGAACATCTGGGGTGATTGATAGACCATCTGGGGTGATTGATTCCTCTGTACTTAGAAGGACACCAAAAGCAACATTTCAAGTAATATTAACAGAAAAATTGTCATCTTCCCTCTGGAGCCCATGCAAGTCTTAGTTAACCTGAAGCGAGTTGTAGAAGCCACTAGAACCGAGGGAGGCAGCTGTGTGCACGCTGGTGGCCTTCTCCCCTCCCAGTTCTAGTTCTGGAGTTCGATGAAGGAAGGGGTCTACATGGCCCACTAAGTTTCCCCTTTCTCTAAACTGGGGGTGCAGAATCTGAACCCCGGCAACCCACCAAGTCCCCTTTCCACATGAGGTCATAGGATATTGTTTCTGTAACGCACTTCCTACATCAGCAGATATGGCTCTCAGTGCAGCAAAACTCACGGCTCCCTTCCGGGGTGTGCAGTTGTCCCTGGCGGCCGCTGCCCCCTGAGGGACTCTATCCCTGTCCTTCTTGCCCCCAGCTGTAGACTCGTGACTCATTCCCACACTTGGAATGTGAGCAGCAGTGATGAGTGACATTCAGATTTTTTGTTTAAAAAGCACGGTCCAGGCCGGGCGCGGTGGCTCACGCCTGTAATCCCAGCACTTTGGGAGGCCGAGGCGGGTGGATCACGATGTCGAGAGATTGAGACCATCCTGGTCAACATGGTGAAACCTCGTCTCTACTAAAAATACAAAAATTAGCTGGGCATGGTGGCGCGTGCCTGTAATCCCAGCTACTCAGGAGGCTGAGGCAGGAGAATTGCCTGAGCCCAGGAGGCAGATCGCGCCATTGTACTCCAGCCTGGGTAACAAGAGCGAAACTCCGTCTCAAAAAAAAAAAAAAAAAAAAAAGCACGGTCCAAACTGGGCTACAAAGTGAGACCCCCATCTCAAAAAACAAGTAAATAAATGGGCATTGACCCTGAGAGCCGGCCCAGGAAGCCACTGAGCACTGTGGGCTGTAGTCAGGGGCTGAGGGCTGAGGAGCCGGCGACAGAAAACGCAGCGTGGGGGGCTGCAGGAGACGTGGATGGAAGAGAAAGTTTCTGTGAAACCGCAGTCGGGAGATAATTTGCCTGTTATAAGTTGCGTGGACCTCAGTGGGAAAATAACGAGGAACAGTATGTGCATTGATTGAGCAGGAGCTGTCCAAAAGGCCAAATAAAGTTTTGGTATTTTAGCCTCAGGAGAGTGGGAAGGGTTTTGAACGTTAAGTGTGGCGTCATCATATTTTTGTCTAAAATGTATTTCTAAGACGGCTTCCTGAAGTCAGACTTGCACGAAGCAATCAAGGTAAGAGGTAATGTTTTCGGAGCCCTTACTCTATGCCAGACACTGCTCTGAATCCCCTGTATGGATAGTTCACTTAATGTTCACAACTTTGGAAAGGTGTTTCCATCACTAGACTCATTTCACAGATGAGAGCACTGAACTCAGAGGTTGATTCATTTGATTAGTGTCATGTATTAACATGCGTGGACTTCACGGATGGAACTGGGTTTCCACCCAGGAAGGAAGTATATCCTTACCTATTATTATTATTATTATTATTATTATTATTATTATTATTTGAGATGGAGTTTCGCTCTTGTTACCCAGGCTGGAGTGCGATGGCGCGATCTCGGCTCACTGCAGCCTCCGCCTCCCGGGTTCAGGCAATTCTCCTGCCTTCAGCCTCCTGAGTAGCTGGAATTACAGGCACGTGCCACCATGCCCAGCTAATTTTTTGTATTTTTAGTAGAGACAGGGTTTCACCATGTTGACCAGGATGGTCTCGATCTCTCGACCTCGTGATCCATCCGCCTCGGCCTCCCAAAGTGCTGGGATTACAGGCTTGAGCCACCGCGCCCGGCCTATCCTTACCTATTATTATTATTATTATTATTATTATTATTATTATTATTATTGAGAAGGAGTCTCACTCTGTCACTCAAGCTGGAGTATAGTGGTGCGATCTCAGCTTGCTGCAACCTCTGTCTCCCGGATTCAAGCAATTCTCCTTGTTTCAGCCTCCCAAGTAGCTGGGATTACAGGTGCGTGCCACCATGCCTCGGCTAATTTTTGTATTTTTAGTGGAGACGGAGTTTCACTATGTTGGCCAGACTGTCTCGAACTCCTGACCTCAGGTGATCCATCTGCCTTGACCTCCTACAGTGTGGGATTATAGGTATGAGCCACCATGCCTGGCCATCCTTACCTATTATTGATATGTCATTATATTTCTTAAAGAAAACAAGAAAAATCCTGTGTGGATAGACCAGTTAGAAAGTTCTTGCCTTCCAGGATAGTGATGAGTTGTTTGGATGGGAAGGATCACAGCAAGAATTTCAGTAAGTATGTGGATTTCTGACTGGGAGGTAGGCTCAAAAGAAATGCTGATGGAAGTTTGGTTTCCTGAAGTATCTGAGTAGATTGTGTTAGACTAAACTTCTCACTATTAAAAAAAATTTTTTTTTAAGACGAACAAAAACCAAGGAACATCTGTCTGTAGAAAGTGGCACGCTTCCAAGGCAGAGAGAATTTAGGGTTCCAAGTCATAAAAGAGGAAGGAAGCCAAGTAAGGAGATGGTATCATTTAGGGTTAGTTTTATATTAACGGTTTGCTGATTCTGAAACTAAAAGATGAGGGACCAAAAAGCTGAGTGGGAGCAGGATGAAGAATTTCACCAGAAAACTAGTAAATACAGGCTGGGCGCAGTGGCTCATGTAATTCCAGCGCTTTGGGAGTCCAAGGTGGATGGATGGCCTGAGGTCAGGAGTTCGAGACCAGACTGGCCAACATGGTAAAACCTCATCTCTACTAAAAACACAAAAATTTGCCAGGTGTGGTGGTGCACACCTATAATCCCAGCTACTTGGGAGGCTGAGACAAGAGAATCGCTTGAACCCAGGATGAGGAAGTGGCAGTAAGCTGAGATTGCACCATTGCACTCCAGCCTGGGGGACAAGAGCAAAAACTCCGTAGAGAGAGAGAGAGAGAGAGAGAGAGAGAGAGAGAGAGAAGAGCAATTGTCCCTAGGATCAGAGCCGATCAGACACAGCTGTGGCTGATCCAAGCCACAGGGATGCCTGCCCACGCACGGTGCCAGCC